ATGGGATGTATCAGGTTGTCCGAAAAGTGTCTTTCTTTTACAGACACGTCTTTTACAACGACGCATCTTTATACAAACATGAAACCTAATCTGTCGAACGTTGTAATCTTTATCTTGATAGAACAAAATAGATCATACGTAATTCGATAAAATAATATAAAACGGAAAATGTTGTGCGTCCACTATTTCCTTATAAAACGAAAGAAACTTTTCGGACGACCTAATACAAACTCGAACATTGTATTTTAAACCTAATCTGTCGAACGTTGTAAAGTTGAATACTGATATTGATTTCTCACCAGATTTTATATTGCAAAATACGATTTTGAGGAATTCGAAGAACATTAAAGGAAATGGGATGTATCAGGTTGTCCGAAAAGTGTCTTTCTTTTACAGACACGTCTTTTACAACGACGCATCTTTATACAAACATGAAACCTAATCTGTCGAACGTTGTAATCTTTATCTTGATAGAACAAAATAGATCATACGTAATTCGATAAAATAATATAAAACGGAAAATGTTGTGCGTCCACTATTTCCTTATAAAACGAAAGAAACTTTTCGGACGACCTAATACAAACTCGAACATTGTATTTTACATTCTAGATGTCGTATTGAAAGTAGAACGTCTTTTAATGTAACCATTTTCACATACAAATACTTTATTACCTCCTTTTATAGAGAATGCAATATTAATTGGTATATAAAAAATGTAAGTGACTTTTAAAAGATTGGAACGCTCCCAGTTTAGAAGCAGACTTCACGTGATATATCATTCGAGACCATTTTATCTTCCGTAATAAATTTTTTGTCTGCTTTTCATCGTTTTACAGCTTGGACGAATACCACGGGTCACGCAATGTATAATCAGCGGCCTCGAATTTGTTAAATATCATACTCTCTGTCTATATCACTTCGTAGAATAATATTTGTTCCGTTCTTACCGTTAGAGCCTTTCGAGGTGTTAAAAAGAGACGAACAGCTGATTAACATAATGGATGGAGCGATTGAATTACCCTAAACGATCGATATCTCTGGACTAAACTATAACGCGTGGAAAAGTAGAAACGTTACAATTTTCTTTCACGAATCTTATTCTCTCTTAATTTTGATACAGAACGCTAAGATTCTTCTTGAAAAAATTTTGGAACGTAATAGAAAATGTAATGAAATGCTTCGTAATCTGTAACATTTACGATCTTAACTTTATACTTTTAGTTTACACCTCGACTATAGTCAAAAATCGGTTGAGATTCGTGACACTTTCTACAATGAAGTATCCTCTCTCGACTAAATGTTCTACCTAAACTTCCTACTAATTCGACCATTCTTTCACGAAAAACCGTGAATTCAACTCGAAGAATTAAGGCTATAAGTGACTACTCGTAAGTACTTCGAATGGAATGTTTAATTATATCGAATGCAAAAATCGGAATGTAATGTTTAAGGGATGAAAATAACGCGAACTCGTGATCGGAGAGCAGCGGATTGTTTCATCGCGTCGATTCTCCATTAAATATCGCTATTTTTATCGATCAAATCGATTAGCTAAGCGATTACATGAGTCAGATGTGGCAAAAAAGAAAGGAGACACGTTCAACGATTACATAATTGTTTTGTGCACGCGGACGCGATTAAATACATATTTCATACTGTGTCGTAGATTTAATAAATCTTTCGGGGAAAAAACATGATATTTCGTATACGTTTGCGAAAATGGAGGATATTATGGAGGAGATTTATTGCACGTATGAAAAATACTTCAAAGAATGAAATACGAGATAAGGAGAATAATTAATTATGCGGTGCATGGCGAAAAATTCCTATTAAATATAAATGAAATTTAAAAATTATATTACTCGATTATGCAAAACCTAGATTCTCTTGCATGATTGAAATTAATGAAATCTTATAAGTTGTGAGTTATCGACTGTAATAAATTTTCTTATACCGCAGGAACAAATGTAGTAATTAATCAACGGAATTGTTCGCGCAAATTGTACAAATTACATGTTATCTGATCATATTATTTCACGGAAAATTATAAAATGATGGAAGAGAAACTCGTGACACTTCAATTTGCTAATATTACTGAGTTAATAAATCATTGTGCAATGGTACCCTGATAATAACCATAATACAAGGCCAAAAAACAATAATAGAGATATGCATCGATTCGAAATAGTTCTTACTTTTTTACATGAAACAAGTTACAGACTTATTGATACCTTGTTCGCCTCAAAACGAAATCTGCTACGCGACGACTTACCTAATAAAACGAATGGCAGGATGATACACTTATTTATTCATTCTGTCGATAAATGTTATACGCGCACGAAACCGAAATGATTTTTTAATAATCCTATTACTCCCTCGTCAGACCGGATAAATCGTGAAATTAGATTAGAACGCGAACGATCTTGCATATGCAATGACTGATATCAGACCATCGATATCGGGAACGACATGCTTAAACGTTAAAGGACATTCGTTTTCGACAAATCGTACTCTCTAAAGACGCGTAGTCACGATCTCGGGTCCGTTTTTACTTACAATTTAAATATTAAAGTATAATATGAGTATGTTGGCGTCGAAAACCTCTGTATAGTTTCTTACACGTCTATTAAATTGAATTTTTTTTCGAATATAGATGATTAATCGATGAATTTAATTACTGATATCCCGCGGCCGAACAAACGTATCAGCCATCATGCGGTATCATCTTTCCCGCCCGTCGTTTTTCTATTCCATCTTCGTCTTTTTCGAGATCCTCTTTAAAATTGTCTATCTCAATCATTTCGAATTAATTATATCTTGGTCCTTGAGTGCATGGTTTTATAACTTCGCGTTTGGCGATATTCTATCCTTCCCTTTCTATAAGCTGCGTCTCATAACTATAAGACCACAGTAAAATTTTCAATTTTTATAGAGCTACGAGATACACAGTGACAAGATCTGTTTAGAAATATGTAAAAAATCGGACGGACAAACATATAAAACTTATCGTTAGAATTCTATTTTATCGTATCTTGAATTCAATTTTCGTGTACCAGGATATTCTGTTACATCGGTTCTGTATCCCAGTTCGTGCATTTATGACAGATTCAGAAACGCAAAAGTGTACAAGAATGCGCATAATGTCCAACGGTATCTTGAATAAAGTAAAAATGATGCGTACCTTTGTTCACGTTCTATTTCTTCGATAATATTCAGAAAAAGAAGTGAATTTGTATGAACATTTGCAGTTTGGTTACGAAACAAGATTAAACTAATTTTCTTCCTTTTTTATGATTTCCAAATGAAATTTCAATGTTGGAAAAGACAAATTGTCTTTCGATGCGATTTCAAACGTGTCATATTTTTGTACGCCGCGAGCATACAAATATCCAGTGACATCGTAACTTCAGTCTCAACTCTGTCCAGAAGAAGAGAAGTGAAACGTTCGCGAAACCTCGGAACAAACACGATCGAAATCCAAAGGACCACGAATATGTCATCCGATAATAGGGAAATTTTAAGATCTAAAGTATCATATTTCGTTCCGTATCGCGTTAATATATAAGAATGTATATAACACAGCGTGTAATAATCGAAAGTCTATGTGGTTTTATGGTTATGAAACGCAATCTGATTATTCGACTTCCTCTTTCAATGGCGAACCAATACGTTTCTACGGTATTTCTCCATGGTACTCTTCGCATACTCTTCGCCTCACACGTACACCACGAGGACCTCCATCGTACGCAAGACATAAATCCTGTCATATTCTCGATAATATGGCACGATTCAAAGCCTGCCACGAACGGCCTCGAAAATATTTCCTTTCGCGTCCTCGACAGTACCACGCAAGAACTTGGAAAATCTGACAACTTGATCGACTCTTCGCTCTTACTTACTTCCTCATACTTAACGAGGATTTAATCGGTTCTGTCGAGAACTTCCGCTACTTCTCCGAACTTTTCTTCGAAAAGAGAGAAATCGCAACTCTGACCAGAAGCTTCGATGGACGAATAGCTTTCCTGCTTGCGTGGTTCCTACCGCAAACTTTCGGATCGTCCCTTTCGCTCCTCAGGAACGAATTTGCTGATGTTAGAAGTCGATGAAAGATAATTACTCTCTATACCGTTATTCTTCTTGAAGAGAAATAATGTAATAATTTCTAAATTGGTAATATTGTTCACGTACAAAAGACAAGGATAAAGAAGAATAGGAAGTGTCTATTTTAAACGATTTCAAGGTGATGTGGCGTATTTTGATGACGGCAACTGGCACTTAGAAGTTTTCTTAGAACACGAAGAATTACAGAAATTATTATTGTTATTTATTTATTGTCGATTAATAGTCGCTAGCAACCGCAATTAGAATTACAGAAATATTCGTCGGAGATTCGTCAGAGAAAACAGAAAGTCTGCATGTTTGTATGTTTGCATATCGCTAAATAATAAAGCGGCATGCATAACACGAGCGCCAGGAACAAAGTATCTAAATATTAGTAAAATTGGTGGATATTTTTGTTTCGACAATAACAGAATTGGACATTTCTTACTTTGTCCCAGTATTCTGTAGTATTTAACTTGATATAAAATAATTACTTTTTCACGATACTACGAATTTTATTACGAATATAGTTGAAGTTTGTTTCGACAAGTATACCAAGATATTCAAACTTAATTTTCGTAATAAAGTTCTTTTGTGACATTCCTTATTCTTTGTCCTTACCTTTTGTACTTGAACTGTCTTTTGGATCGATACTTTGATAAAGAAGAAAGCTAAATACACAAATATGTGTCAGTATCCCTCCAGAGATTAACGATTAACCACACGATTAACCTTAACGTGTCATAAAAACTTTCATTCTTAACCCTGCTGCGATTCCCCAATTCCTATATTTCTTGTTTTCATTGATCACATAAAAAAGATTTGCGATATTTCACGAAGATGTTCAACGTTAAGTTAAAACGAGACATCGTGCGTACCAGTAATCATTTCTTTTTTTCTTTTTTACTCAATCTAAATTCGAATCTAAAATGATGCAAAGAACGCAGCAGGTCTGAACAACTATAAGGAAACTATTCAAAAACTGTACACGTGTCATTGCACCTTTCGCACCGTGACAGGGGAAACTTAACTTTCTCAGCTCACAGTCTGAGCTGAAACTATCGAGATCTCGATCACTTTCTACAAGCAGCGACAATGTCACGAATAACGATCTCACCACCGCTGTAATTCGTTGAGGAAATTGATTTCCTACCGAGTGTTCGCTAGGAAGGATTTCTTCTTCCCTCTCTCTCTGTATCTCTCTCCCTCTCTCTGTATCTTGTTAAATTTCCCTTTCCTTGTAACAACCGAAGCGTATACACAAAGAAACACGTTGCCCCTGTAGACACGAGCCGGTATCGGTTCCCGCTGGACTTCCTGACGGGAAATTGCTCGGGGCAGAATCGCGTTCGGCGCCAAGTGGAATGCTCGGTGAATACGCTCTGTGAAACTCGATTCCTCGAGAATACGAAACTTTCAAGGAGATAGAGGCGGCTGTGTTCGAATCGAAATTAGCGCACGGGAAATTGCATTTTCGACTATGTAGATTACACTTTCGTCGACTAGTAGTTCGATTGAGATGCTTTCGATTAGTTGCTTGTTTTACGGTCGATTGCCCTCATTCAGTATCCGCAAGGTTGAACCGTAGAGTTCGATTAATGGAATTGTTAAACGCTCGACGTGTCGAACAATGAATTTTGTTTCGGGAATGTTTTCGTTGACGAATCGTATTTTGATAATCTCTTATCGTATTTGATGAATGATAGTGTTGCGTTTTGTTTAGATGGTTCAAAGAAAATTTATGTCACGCACGAAACCTTGGTCCCATTGGTCAGGTTTTGCGAACGTTTAACGACGAGATCCTTGTTTTGGAAGAAAAATCCCTTGTTACTGATAACTTACGGGAAGAATCGAATCAGCTGTAAGACAGTAGTGAGATATTTAAATTTAAACGGCTGCTACAAGAAATAGACGAAATCTCGATAACTTCGAAAAACAGACTATCGATATTGGCTCGTGTATCTTAGTTCATCGTAATCGATGATTAATTCCAAAGAAAATCTCTTAACTGGACGATTCAATTTCTCGTTTCTAAATATCCTTTCTTCCCTTTCCTCGAATTTCAAAACCATTTACAAATTCCATCGATAAACTACGGCTTCCAAGATGTTACCCATTTCGTGATACCACATTGTAAAAACGTCGCCCCATTGTCATCATCGTCGCCGTCGCAGAAACCGCCTACTCAAGTTTGTTCCCGATATATATGAGATCCTCGCGATCGTACAAACTTCAAGCCAGAAAGGCAAGCTCCGAACTTTCCCTCGTAATTTAAATCCTGGACACGTAAAGCGGCCGATGAACCTGTTGAGGGTTGCCGTTTTGCTTCGAATGGCGAGGATTCTGCAATAATTCCCTGGTCTCGCTCGGTGAACCGGGACTCAGGCTGTTAGTGGTCGACGTTTCTACGCGGTCACTGATAATCTCCTCTTCGGTGATCTGTTCGAGGTATAGGGCGGACTGAGCAGTCTGGTGATCTCCGTTGAGCGTCGGTGGCGGCGAATAAGCAGGCGGAGGACTTCTCGGTGGAGAAGTAGACTCTTTCTCGTTCTCCGTTTCTATAGCTGCAGCGGTAGCTGCCTGTTGTTGCAGTTGCCTCGCTCTTCTGGCTTGCCTGGTGGTCAATCCTCCAGTTTCCGCGTCTCTCTCCAGTCTGTGTCCCGACTTGGACCTGGTTAATTGCCTTTGCACGTACTCTTCCAGGTCGTTTTCTTCTTTCTTCGCGATCACCCTGTTCAAAATGATGAGGAACATGCCGACGATGATAGCGAACAGACCTATGGCTACCAGCTCGTTCCACCAGCCTCCAGATGCTTTGGTTCCCCATTGAGCGAGATCTCCCGGCAACAGGCCACTCATCAGAAGAAAAGCACCGAACACCAGGAAGACCACGCCGATGTGAAGCATTCCCACCGACGTGACCACCTTCGAATCCAACATACCCTGGCCGGCAGAACGATTCGGATGTCCGGTTTTATGGTGTCTCGGTTGTTGATCCAAGGAACCGGTCGAAGCCCTGGGCGACGTCAGGCCGCTCTCGCCCGATTGCGCGCTATAACGACGCTCGCGGGCACGACGCTGCTCGTCCCGGCGTTTTCTCTGACGCTTGATGGCCAGCGCCGAGTGCAATCCAACCGCGTGCATCCTGCAACACCGGAAAGACAACCCTTGCTCAGTCAATCCTCTACAACTCTCACTCTCTCTCTCTCTCTCTCTCTCTCTCTCTCTCTCTCTCTCTCTCTCTCTCTCTCTCTCTCTCTCTCTCTCTCTCTCTCTCTCTCTCTCTCTCTCTCTCTCTCTCTCTCTCTCTCTCTCTCTCTCTCTCTCTCTCTCTCTCTCTCTCTCTCTCTCTCTCTCTCTCTCTCTCTCTCTCTCTCTCTCTCTCTCTCTCTCTCTCTCTCTCTCTCTCTCTCTCTCTCTCTCTCTCTCTCTCTCTCTCTCTCTCTCTCTCTCTCTCTCTCTCTCTCTCTCTCTCTCTCTCTCTCTCTCTCTCTCTCTCTCTCTCTCTCTCTCTCTCTCTCTCTCTCTCTCTCTCTCTCTCTCTCTCTCTCTCTCTCTCTCTCTCTCTCTCTCTCTCTCTCTCTCTCTCTCTCTCTCTCTCTCTCTCTCTCTCTCTCTCTCTCTCTCTCTCTCTCTCTCTCTCTCTCTCTCTCTCTCTCTCTCTCTCTCTCTCTCTTTCTCTCTATTTCTTTGACTACGAGTGTTACCGTGTCTTTTGCTCGTTCTTTTCTTCTATTCGAATTTCCACTCGATTTTCTTCGAAAGATCGAATTTCTAATTGAATTGTTAATTAGGCAAATCTGCCGATACGCCGAGACGAGCATCGCTAATTTGTACAGTGCGATCTTGAAGATGGGGTTCGTTAGAACTTGAAGCGCTAAGAATCGTTGGTTGCTCGCTAATTTCTAGTTTCTCTACGTGTACGTTCTTTCTATGCGTTCGATCACATGCACTGGACTCGCACGCCCGGGTGTAATGCTGTTTTTACAAAAGCAAAGGATCTTTCAGACGTTTAATAATCGTATAACGAGGCAGTAATACAGTCGACGATCTATTGAAGGCAGGAAACGATGTCGATTCCTGTGTCTCGAAGCGTATACGTTGCTCGTACTCGAGGGAATTTATCGTGCTTCTAGTTTGGCGACGACGATGCTCGTCTCCGTGGACTTTTACGCGTTTTCGGGTTTTATCGATCGCTTAGATACGTTCGCAATTCTAAAGGCTGTACAAGGTTCGCTCACAGGGTTCACAGGATGCACTGCGATAGAATCGCCGCGTTAAATTCGCTACGTTTTTTCGCAATAAATGAATTACCAAAATGTTCCTGCCGCTGTCGTTGAACCTGTGAAAATCTCTTCTTGCACGTCTCTGCTCGATTCCTCAACGGCGTGATGGTCGGCGACATGGAAAAAAGGAGATGAGATGAATATCTTCTTAATTTGAAGCTGCTACAGTCCTTCTTTTTAGTGCAAGCAAAGATAAAAGATTACTTCGGCGTTTTCAGCTCGTACGCGGAAGATTTTTTTCTCTTTGTTAAAACTCGCAAAACCAGAAAGTGTAAGTCAGAGGCTCCATTGTGCGGAACTTTTAATTATTCTGTTACACCTCATTTCCTTTTTTCTTCTGTTGCTCGTGCCTACGTATAAGCATTACAATGGATAGTTTGCACGAAATCCAATCACAATCGTTGTTAAACATTTTAATTAATACGCGTTCCATGTTTTATATTACAACGAATATTCATTGGAAACATGTTATTCGTTTCGCATATTTTGCGTAAATAAAGTGGTGCGAAAGTTGCCGCTCCAATTTACCGATGTCGTCTAGTTAGAATTTCTAATTAGTTTGGCTCTGGCGTACGATTCTCTCCCGTTGACGTGTACTCGACTTCCGGTTCGATATGTGTTCCGGAAGCTGACCAATTTACAGACTAATGTCCGGCTGACAAATACAAATCGAGAAAAGTCACCACGGACTAACTTCGAATCGACGTATTTGCTACGTGAATTACGACAAAATAATGTTACACGTGTGAGCGTAAATCAAGTTTTCTTGGCAAGTTTCTCTTCTCTCATTAAGCAAAAGCGTAGATGTTTCAACATACTGTTATATTATTTATATAAATTACGACGCTTTTAATCGAGTAAAGAAGTTACCAAAGTGCACCAGAGTAGAATAAAAAGTATTGAAGCAAAGTAGATTCGGTGTTTCATGAATAAATCAATAGAAATTTCTTAAAGGATCGAGTAAAAGTGATGTTATAAACACGTGGTGTGTTAAGAATCATCATGCACGACTAATATATTATTTCAAGAAGGTTGATATATTATTCCACGATAAAAAAATAATTCCTTTTTATTTCATCAAATGTTTTATATCCCAAACATTTTAAATTCGCAACATAAATTAATACTTTTTCATTTATTTCATTTACAGATAAACATTAATATCGTGTATATTTGATATCCAAATTAATATTCTTTATAATAATAATATAAATATAACTTCGCGTTGATTTCAGTAGAAAAACCTGTACTAAACTTTCTAAATTAAATATTCTTTTACGATCTCGATTAAAATACAAGTCATAAATTATATTTCAAAGAATCTCGTAAAAAATTATTCCCTCCGCGAAATCGCGGTAAAGAAATTACGTGAAACGAGGATGAATGTGTGTTTGCGTGTAGAATAATTTGATATATTGAATATTACTTTAGGGGAAATTAAGTTGAAGGAAGGTTAAAAACGTTTCTGACGTTCCTTTCCGTCGTAATATCATTATTATGCTTGCTTTTACGGTCAAAAACGGCACATTTAAAAAAAAGCTGGGTAGGACAGTTTCCGCGGGTAATTTCTCCGGTGAAGTAGTATGAAAAAGTTCAGTTCGAAAAACGAAATCGCGTTTCACCCGTATCTTTCCTTTTTAATCAAAGTAAAACTGCGTAATTTAATTAATGCGACGAAAATTTATTAGAATCCGATAAAGTAAAGACATAATACAAATAATGTGCGTATAATAAAATTTCCAGGTATAAAATGTAAAACTACTCTGTGGAATGAAAATAACGCGAACATCGTGTTTGTTCTCGACTTTTCCAGTAATATACGTCTCTCTGTCAGTACAGAATAAATTGCATTTGGCAAATTAATTTTTCAAAAGATCAACAGCGTCTCAAGTATAAAAATGAGATTTAAGAAAAAGCAGATTAAATATTTTCTGTATTAACGTTTTCATTTTATTCACTTGCTCTCGCATCTTTGTACAAGTAACATTCTACTTTTCTGAGAGAAAACATTACATTATATGCTACGTGATAAGAATATGAAATATCATCCAGAATTGATTCGAAATGTAAATGCCAGTCGTTAAGGAAATTTAGGAGCTAGAAGACGAATAAAATGTGACGTGAGTCTTTATGTACGTATGTAAGTGCCAAGGTGTCACATCGTTGAGTATTTAACTTTATGCTTCATTTGTCACGATCTGTTGGCTTTTAAAATTTACGATAGTTATAAGAATATTCAAATTCTCGTACAAAAATTGAGTATTCTTTAAAATGAGCATATTTTAGTTTATCGGCATAAAAGTGCATCGTGTGTTTGCAGCGCAAATATAAGACTTTACTGTGATAGGCGTAATAAAAATGTGATGTTTCATATTTCGAAATAACCTTCGTTTCACTGTCACTGTTTGCGAACCTTTCCGTGCGACTTCATTGTATCGTTGTAGATAGAAAGAACTTTGGTGTGTTAAAACTTTCGTAGTAACTTCTCAATGTCATAGTCTTTACAATTTTGGACGTGTTGCAAGTGTAATAAAATAGGTATAGCGGACGTATAGCAAACGTGGCAACAGTAAAAGCAAACTTTTATGTTTCTATCTCTTGTTGTTTCAGAAATCTTTACAGTTGAACCGTTCCTTTAGTAAAAAAAATATGTCCGTACGTATGTCACGTATTTTATTTTCGATTTAATGTATTATTTGATTCTAATTTATAAAACACAAACATACGTATTTGAACAAGTAATTTAAGATTCTGTCTGTGTTTTTTGAGATTTACAATGACGCTATTTACAGTTTTGCTGCTTGTAAAAATCGTAATTTTATAATACGTTTTTCTTACACAGAGAATTTATTGAAACGAGTAAAAATTCCCACGCAAAGACAAGGATGTCTGAAGGAATACTCTGAACTCTCTAAAATTTAAACGAAAATATTAAAAATCTTCTCTGAAAATACGTAAAATCTTCATTAACGTAAAAAATTCTTATTCGAAGTTACGTAAAAATATAGTTTCTATCATACACTGAATATAAGCACGTTCATTTTTTTTTTCTTTTCACTCAGTTTTTAATTATAGAATAATATTCTATTATTTTGAGAATTGTTTCGAAAATTTAGAAATCATAAAAATTTATTTGGGGAATCCTATTATTTTGAGAATTGTTTCGACAATTTAGAAATTATAAAAATTTATTTGCGGAATTTATACATATACGAATTTATAAATAATTTTATCTTGGATGTTTCCTTTGAAAACTCTTACGTTATAGAAGAACGATATAGAGGAATTACATAACTTGTAGGAAGCAATATCCAGTAGTCAGTGACAACATTTGTTACAATTTCCGAAGTAGTTACGAAGATATTTACTCGTAATGCGTTGCGTGACTCACGCTCTATATAATCATTGGAGGTACAAGGTAGAAGAACGATATTCCCATAGATGCTATAAATAAGATGAAACTCTCCTAACAACTTTACAATCTTCCAGAATGTTGATATATATACGTATAAATATTTCGTATATACGTATGTAATTTATATGAACATTAACTTTTTTTAATGTATTAATTCCTTTATATCTTTTTATAGTTTTTCTTTTTTAAGTTAAACGAAGCATACTACTTTAATCGTAAAAGGTTCCATTCTTGATAATTCGCATAAACTTCGTTTCGTTATAAATTACAACTATGGTAGAAAAATTGCGTAATAAAAACTCTAGAGATTATATAGTATAGTAAATAATAATTATATGCAATAATTATTCAACATTCGTTGAGAATTTCGCTCTATATATGTAATAATCTTGATTGTAAGTTAAAAATTTGATATTTTTCCTTTCGTCAGAGTAAAAATGCATTTCCCCATAGGAATTTCAATTCCTTATTCCTTATCAATTCCTTATATTCTTATTTATTAGAAGAGAAATGGAATTGAATCTTACATTTCCTTTTGTTACTGTATTCGCGTTATGTTTTCTAAAGAAACTTGTTATTTCGACGATCCAATATAACAGAACTACATCGGAAAATTTTCATAACTCTACAATAATGTGCGAAGGTATTCTGCCAGGTAGATTTCTCATTTTACGTTCTAAGAACGATATCTGAAGGAATTTTTACTAATATAATATACTATATAATAGAAATCATTGTTATGCAAGTCAGGATTTTCAGAACTCGAATTTAGTTACGTGTTCCGAATTTTAAAAGTATCATCCATTTAGTTTTATAATTAGATAACAATATTCTTTGCTATGATACGTTTGCATGAAAAATATAATGAATTTTTTTTAAATAATAAATGCGAGATATTATTTTATGAAACTAGCAGTGAGCTGATTTACACAACTGTTCATTCGTTTCCCTATACACAATATTAGTTAAAGTTCTTTTAGATGCTCTATACTGTCATATAATATCTTATAATGATTAGCCCGCGGATATTTATGCGAATCAATATTTCAGTAAATACAAAAGACTGGATGTCATAAAAAGTACTATATCATAGACATTTTGTATATTTTTGCACTAATATGCACGAATATTCGCAGTGTAATAATCACTTTACACTTTACACAAAATGGAACGAAGATCAAGTAACGATAATTTGAAAATACAATTCAAGTTATACAATTACATATTTTCAAAGTCCAATAAAAAGACCACGGTATGATGTTATCCGAAGATATACTACGCCCTATATTCTTTTTATTCCTTTCCTTCAAACTTTATCGCGACTCGCTCGTAAACGAGAATCACTTTTCGTTTTTAAAGAAACATACTCGTAATCTAGCAGTTTCATCGACAGCCGTGTATTTTGACCTACTGCTTCAATGTGTTTTTAATCCATTCAGGAGCATATATACATGCCTGAATTCAATGGCGACGTATCGTGAATACTTGTAATTTTCCCGAATGCTTCCAATTTCCAACGAATTCTTTCTTTCTACGAACGCGTCGAATATTTGTCCATTTCACGAATTCCAACTTCCATGCAAATTTTGCAGCAAATATTGGGTGGCAGAGTTCCTTTTTAGAAAGCTCTAAAAAATAGCGTAAAATCTGGCTAACGCAGTAGGAAACAACCCATCTCTTTCATTTCGGTCTCACAGTGACTCGCGAAAAAACTCGGACAGTTATTACAAAAAGTTTTTATGAACATGTTACGTGCGTTGTACGAAACTTTGTGAAATTTCATTAACACATGTAACCAGACCCGATTATCAGGATTATATTGCTACAGTTTGCATCAGATTTGAGAATGTACATAGGAGCTACAGGATAATTAGTGTAAAATATTTAGCGTGTCAGTTGTCCATTACATTAACAAGCCTCGATATCCAGTGGAACAAAAGTTCACGTTGTCTTCAACATTTATTACGATGGCTATCCATGTTGCTATCAACTTTTTACTAGATATACATCTTTCAGTACATATCGTGTAACTTTTACGTACAATATTTTCAAATTCATTTTAAATGTTGCCAATATAACTGTTACATCCGGTGACTCTCTACCCAAACCAGGCTCCATATCGCGGGTAAGATAACTGTCAGATGTCTACACACCTTTATCGCGTACCCTCAAGTAATCTTAAGGATCCATCATGAATCTTGGCATTTTCATAGTTAAGGTGATTCAGACCAAACAAGTATCTTTCTAGTTAAAGTATTCTCTAGAGATTTATCGTCCACTTCGGAAAGGTACAGGAAATTTGACTTTTCGCACATACAGTGTCTCTCGCTAGCAATCTTCTCTCGAGGGCGGTCCGACCTACGAACCTTTTTCTTATCCAATTAAAAACAATCTAGGCAAAATTGCCATCAATAAATCCGATTGTTCTCTGCCAGAACATCGTCACCGAGCTTCACTCGTTTATTATCCGTAGAACAGTCTTGACTGCTTTTCCGTTCGTTAATTAGTCATCAGTTTAACTTACAACTTACACGTCGCTAAGACTACGTCTACACGTGGGTACCTGTCTATATCTACAAAGTTGTTGGAGGAAAGTGTATATTGTGACCCATTACTTTAGTGTTATAATCAGTTCAACCACCTCTATGATCCTAATCGAAATAGGAGATCGGCCAATTCGCCGAAATCGGTCAAATCGTAATGAAAATTACGACTCTCGTTGACGCGATCTACGCCGAATGCGTCTCTCCGCGAATGGTTGAACAATAATCAAGACAGTCGTGCTCCGTTACAGAGACGATAAAATTTCAAAATGTTCATAGAGAGTTTCTCTGACTGTTCAGATACTTTCGTCAGTTATCATACATATGCATATTTATAAGATGTTTCCAAAGTGTTCATCTTCGTGAAGCACAACATACAATATTCATAAGAGATTTCTGTAAGTGTTCAAATACTTCCGCGAGACACTGTAAGTGTCACCGACGCAGCAGTGTAATCCTCGTTTCTTCGTGCCCTCGTTTCTTCGCTGGAAGCCCCATGACGATGCTGTTGTGGCTCCTTTAATGGACCTTCGACAAAGCTCTTCTACTCTTGGTATTCCCGGGGCGTACGTAAGAGAAGATTCTTGTAAATTGCGCGTCGCCGCGACATATCTTTCTAGAAATCTCTTTATACTTCCTGTGCTCTTGTAAAATAGTTGCTAACGGCACCAAAATAATCTTTTCTCGTGCGAGTGATTTTTCTCCCGTTATTCTTCTTCCTTTTGTTATCGAGCAACGACGTTGAGAGTGTAGTTTTTATAAAATTCAATGTCTTTATTTTTATAACGTAAAATGACGAGTTTATGCCTCTCGTCACTTTCGATACATTAAACATTTCTAAATCTGCCCCGGAAAATATCACGTAAAACCTGTTCGCTTTGCTTTTAGTTATCCATAAAACTACCTATCCAAGTATACTATTTGTCAATGCATCGTTTGAAAGATTTTTTGGAATTATTAAGACAGCATATTTTTCACTTTTTAAAATAGGATATACGTAAAGACTTAATACCAACGATGAAAGAAGAAATGGGCTGGTACATAGAAATATACAAGAAAAGAACAGCAATACATCTTGTCCCTGAAGCGAGCAAAACTCTCGTAGAAAGAGGACTAAAAAGAAACCAACCCACTGATCTCACGGAAGAAATATTATTTAGCAATTAAGTTAGAAAAATTTACCAAATGTCCAGCTAGACAAATTGTACAAATTGTACAAAAGTACAAATTACTAAAAAAAAAAAAAGAAATGTTAGGTTTCCATTGTATGTTTGGCTGGCCATTTGTAAATGAGCTAAGACTTTGAATTGAGCGCTGTTTTCATCGTGTACACATTGTGTATTTTTCTATTACGCGAAATTACGCATGAAGACTACAACGGAACATTCTATTTTTTTATGAGATCAGTTTTAAAGTTCAGTACGTCGTTAATTAATTCTACGTTATCAAAATCGTCCTTTCATTTTATTTCAGGCTAAAACATATATTTTTCCAGTCCCTTTATAACTTTAAAAATATTATTATTGATCAGAGCACTAAAAGGTCGAAAGACGTTAAACTACCGCTTCTCTTAACAGTTAAATCTTTTACAAAAATCTCTCCTACAAAAATTCGACAATTAATTGATCCTGATTCTTCCACCTTTAGCTATTTTATGTTAATATATTCTTTCTTGGTCACAAGATGACATTCAAATCCAAAATCAACAGAGACGTAGATATATCCTTTATCTGTTGTCTTTACACGTATTATCTATATTTGAACAAGTTAATTAAAACCAATATTTTGAACATCTCGAAAAGAATTTCAAGTTTGATAAAATTAAAATCGCAGCAGAAGATATGCAGCGTGTTACCTTAGGAAGAACCTAAGTTCGTTTCCCTATTTACGAGAATTCACATGGATATTTCTGTTAATGCAAACCATGATACTGTTCTCAGAGAACGTTCATAGATTCAACCGAAAATCAAGGCTTAAAACATCGCGTGTTGGCGTGATACAATTCTCGAACACGATCCACCTTTATATTCGACGTTATGCCGAACGAATATCAGATGGTTTACTATTCTAAAGTAATTTATTTCTTCCTTTAAATATAACCTCTCTGTTTCGTGATTTACAAGTTAGATCGTGAACGGGATCGACAAATTGGTTCTCCTCTTCTTTCTTGAAATTATTCAACCTACTTTTTTCGATGTGGTTGTTAACGGATCAGCGACGAAAATTGCATATTCATATTTTATCCCAATATTGATTCGTATAATCTCATTAATTCTATTCAGAATCTAAGCTCCTTTCTAATCTGGATATATTTATCCTCTCGAATCCTAACGAAACTTCGTGACTTTCCATTTTTTGAAAAAGATTGTTTTATCTCTTCTCGATGATAACAAAATGCGAGACTAAGACGTTAATAAAGAACGAGAATTTTATTGTAATACTTTGTTCGCGTCGATCCATGCGAGGAAGCTCGCTTAATTCAGAGAAATTGTATCGTTTGTTTCGTTCGAGATAGACAACAGTGATAAGAAAAGAGCGTACTAGTACGACAATTATTTGTAATTAACCGTCGCGACCGTCCGGTGAGTCTTTACATAAACCAGAATCCATCCCACGGTTAAGACGGTCACTAGCCGTGTAAATATAATTAGTCAGACCGCAATAATCCTAAGGAACTGTCATAAAACTAAGCATTTTTATTTTACTGTTAAGGTCCATAACTGTTATAAAAGATCTTTGAGTCGAGACGGTCCTTATGGTTATTGTTCAATCAGATAAATATGGAAAGGTCGTTCAAAGGTCATTTTCATCCGCTAGCGACCGGTGATTGCCCCCCCAGCAATAGTTTTCCTTTATGACATCATCGTCACTGAACTTGTCATCCTTAGATCAGTCAACATATCTTGACTGGTTTTTCATCCGTTGATCAATGTCTTGACTGTTTTTTGTTCATTGATTAGTAATCAGTTGTAAATTACTATTTACACGTCTCTGAGAATACGTCTGTACTGTTAAGTAAGTATTATAATCAGTCAACCACCTTTATTATCATAATCGAAATAGGGAATCGACCAATTCGCGGCGTCGATTATCTAATCGTAACGAGAATTTACGACTCTCGTTGACGCGATCTACCGAGAACGCGTCTCTCCGCGAACGGTCGAACACTTAATATTAAAGATTGAACATTAAAAATAATATACGTATAAAAAATCCTAATATTACGTTTTAAAAATGAAGATGAATAACGCATAACTGATAAAAAGGATGTTACGTAATATAACATGAATTCAAGAGAAGAGAAGCTCTTTTTATAGTTGCTTAACAAACAAAGTATACTTCCGTTCCATTTATTAACACGAATTTCCTCTCCAGTCTTCTACGCGTAAACACCAGTCACTTTTATTTAATACCATGGAAGAATCAATAAACTAAAAATACTCCATTAAATCGGCTCCAATAATCAATCTACTGAAAAAATAGCATCCAAACGTTCTCCAACGAGTAGCGATAGATGAAAACAAACTCTCATGCTATATTTCGTTCTCGTGTTTCCTAACAAACTTCCATCGAGAGTTCTCTATTTCCAAAGCAACTAACAAAAGATGCGCCAGCCAATCTTGCCAAAGATTCTCATGTGAAAATTAACTCGACGGTAGCGTGCGCTGAAAATTCCATGCATGATTCAAAGTTTTCGGCTTTCCCTTGGGAATGTTTAATTTCCCAGGTTCGAACGAACTAGATTCAATTTCCGGTGACAGAAATTCGACAATGGCGCATTGTCGAGCCGTGTTTCTGGCGAAAACGCAGTAGCGTATACATCGCTTCCGGTTCTTCGAATACACCCGGCGTTTCGGCCGATTGTTTTGCTGAAAACTTTCTTTATCGCGAATCGCGAGCGAGGAAGCATACTCCGGCTTGCGGCCAGGTTTATATTTACCAGCGCTGTAACCAAAATGTAGGTCGAGCTCCAATAGGGAAAGCCCGAAGAGACTCACCCCGCACGAGGCTCGCGGATAAGATTTTTATCTTCGTGCCTCTGTTACCCGTCGTAAACAACGATAACCCTTTCTCTTTGATCGAATCGAGCCGATCGGTATCGCGGTGAGCGATCCCCAGGACAGTCAAGTTCACGCGCGAGTTGAATGCGGATTTCATGGTATTTTATTTGTCTGATCGAATCTCATACGATTGCAATAATAGAGTCGTCACGCTTTTCGTGGAACTGATAAATGTTT